CATCGTCTGGCTCCCACAGAGGATCACTCTCTTCTTCTTTGACGAAGATATCCTCTTTGCATTCGACAATCAGATTGTCAAGCACGGCTTCTCTCAAGATTGACGTAAAGCTGTCTATCACCTTCTGCTCCATCCTGGATGGGCTACGCTCAATGTCACAAGAACCAAAGTTCTTCAGTAAGTGTGACCAAATTGGGACAGACGATTCGTGTAGCACTAATTATTATTGATAGTGGTATCTCTACCGTTTATGCTACTCATAGTTCTCACCGGAAATGACGTCATCTCTGGTGACGTGGCAACATCTCGACACCTGTAGAATAATTGATCGAAAACTTCGTGAAGAAAGCGATTTATGCTTGAAGTGAGCCCCCAAACAAGTGACTGCGTTGTACATTGTGTTAATTTCCACACTAAAAAGGTTCTTTTGGGCTGAAAACAGGCATAATTGATAAAAGCAAAAAAATTGGGACTTCACAGAACCATCAGTAGTTTCACAGACATGAAGCCGCCACCATCACCCTCGGCAGAACGCCGACAGCACTGCTCATTGAAGGCGCCTCTTGTAATGAACATTCATTTGAAACAACCCCGTACACTTTTTTCAGAGAATCGTTTCGCAAGATTTGGAGAGTGGATTTGAGATCAGCGTCCGAAAATACATCTCTGAGTATAGGTTTCATTACGGATGGCCACTTCGACTTGGTATCCTCCTTGTCAGATATTTACCGTTTCAGAGTGACTATATACCCCCCCCGCTCGACGGCATTTTTGGAGGAAAAAGTGGGCGGGGTTTGGTGGGTTGAGTGGTATCAGAATTAATACTATAGAGACGATGATGGTGGTCGAGGTGTCGAAAAGGGGGTCGTATCAAATCCACCTTGGGGGAGGGGGGTCGTAAAAATTTTTCAAAAGTAACAACGATAGGACCGACCCTGCTTGCGAGGCCTGCCGATGTACAAGTCAGTGTTTATCCTCCCAGACAAGTCTGGTACCAATTAACCGACCCCGGAGGGATGGAAGGCTTGGTTGGCCCGGGCGACTCACGACCCAGGATTTGATCCCCGGACCGCTCGCGTGGTAAGCGTGCCACTTGCCACTATGCCACTTCCGCCCAGTAGTCCTAAGCCACATGTTTAAACTGAAACGCTTGTTAAAGCAGTTATCAGTAACTTTTTTCTGGTATTGAAGGCAAGATTCAGGATTAAATTGATGGGTGATTCCACTCAAATGTGAAAGTAGGGTGGGAGGTGGACCGCCAGTGGAGAAAAAAGAAAAAAATCGTGAAATACACAGGAAATACGAGCCTTTTGCTCTACGCTGTGGAAAAGTTCAAAAGGCCGCGGGGAGGAGCGTGCCTCAACAAGTGGAGCGTGTCAAAAACCTTGGCGCCTAGCGCCTTGGTGACACGTTTTCATGTAAGGACGTGGAGCGTCTTCTGCAGTTGCGTCTCACGCACTTCTAGTCATTCCAATGATTTGTTAAAGGCAAAGGTCGGGCACGCTAGAGAAGTAATTCCCGTGCCTGGAGGTTGTATGTGGGTAGCTGCACACATTGCAGCAACTTCCCACCTTGAAAAACCCCGTTAAGGCCCCGGGGCGTTCGGTTTCAATCCAGGGCCGCCTGGTCAATCCAGGACCGCCCACCTCCGGAAGTGGTGCGTGGCTGGCATAACGTGTGAAATCAGCTAGGTTGATTGCCGTATCAACCGATAGAACGACTGACATCTCCAGAAAACTTGTTTGTACGTGCCTCTTTCCCCAAGCCAGCCTCCTTCACTGCTAGTGGGAAAGAGGGTTTTGATTAACGGCCTTTTGACGATTTTTCTCAGTTTTTTCTCCACTGTCGTTCCACTTCGCATCTCTATACTCAGTTTTAATCGCCATAATACCCCCTTATTGAGCCCAACTTTCGCCTTTAAGCTATATTTGGCTCACTATCCCACGAAATAAATAAATAAATATATCCGAAGATCGCCAAAACTTTGCCAAGACTTTTGCCTTTGAGTGGGTCTGAACCCGAACATTGCCTTTAAGGTGTACTATTCCGAGTATTCAGGATGTACATCCACAGAACAGTACTAACGTACATTTCAGGAGGCTCGTGCTAAAGCCAGCCAGCTCGAATCGATCATGAGCCTGATGATGCAGAATCAAGAAAAGTTTGGCATCACAAGTGAGGACGACATTAAGGAGCAGATGGACATGTACAATTTTTAATGTTCGGTGTACGTAGTGAGCTTAGCGTTAACCACATCTGTGAATAATTGCGTGTAATTATAACTAATAGTGTTAGATAAGTGGGAAGTGCGTTTCTTTGAAGCCTCAAGCATGTAACGAGTAGTTGACAAACATAAAAGGATTGTGTGTGATGAGTCAGCGCCTTTCTTTCCCTTAGGATGCACCGTGCATGTGACTCTTCAAGAGAATCGTGGAAGCATATCAGTTCGGCTTCTCCATCTCATGTTTAGTTGAGATGAGCAGAAGTCGGACAGCAGATCGTGCCACTAGCTAGCGCACTTCAGTGCTGTCACACCACCCTTCCCTTCACAGGGGAGCTACAATTGAGATTGAATTTTCAACTAATTTTCCTCTTTTCTAACCAAGGTGAGCATGACTACAAGCTCTTTTCGCCCATGAAGTTTGTACATACGAAATCATAGAAGCATCCGGAAATAAGAGCATTATTGCGAGAACTTGATCTCGTCAAACCTTCAGTCTGTCAGCAAGATTTCTCACAAGCAGTACTCTGCGTAAAGCATTGTACTGTTTCTTCTGCACAAGGAGCTGCGTTGTGTAAAAGACCCTACGCTGATAAACCATAACTCCAATTGACTCTAGAGGCAATGAACACGATGACAAAAGGGCGTGGGTTATAACGTCATTGGAGGATAGACCCCTCTGCACGTTGCGGTGAGTGGCTGAGAGCAAAATCTCAACATTCTTCCACAAATGTCGGCCAATGACGTCATCAGAACCGCTCCGCCCAACGGCCATCGTGCACACTGCTTTTGAAGACTGTCTGGTATCCTACGCATGATACTTCGTAGTATTCATAACGTTAATTTGCTATTGATTTTTTTGTAGAACCAGGACAACTTGTGGAAGTGATCTTAGTGATCAGTAACCAATATGTGTACCGTAACTTCGCACTGTCTCCTCAATTCCCTCATTGAGGAGCGGGATCTTGTTTCCCCTTTGAAACTCACACTTTGACCGAATTTCGGTTTTTTACTCTACTCTTTAATTGATCAAACGGAAAAATACAAAGAAACTTTCTGTGTGTTGATAGTTCCCTGAACGAGTCCAATTACTCCAAAAATCGTTCACATTATGTGCTGTAAGAAATTTCTGGGAAAGTGTGCTGATCGTTAGTCAGTGGAAACAGTTCGACTACCTCATTCCAAGAAAATTGTTGTAGTGAGGATTTCATGTTGAAAAGATGAACAGTACATAAATTCTT